TAAAGCCAACAAGCTTTATTTCAGCTGCGAATAGCTGAGCAAACGGTGCTTGCAGATCTACTATGAATTGTCTTTTAACTAAGCCACGAGTATTGGTTCATCCACATTACTGTAATGTCGCATATCAATGAGTTAGCTGCGGTCGGCCCCACTGATGTAGTTGAGAGACAGGCTTAAGAATACTGACCTAACGTTAAAGGTTATCTTGCGCCAGTGCAACACCACACAGCGCATTCAGCCGTAGCCCTAAGCCTGTGACGAGCACGTTGTGTGGGCGTCGACTCGGACTGCCGCGCCCCGTCCGCAGCACCAGAACCCCAACACGGGCGGCGCTGGTCCTCAGCTGCCGCTTGCGTCCATGGCCTGTCCACCATGTGACGCTCGCTGGCGCCCTAGCGCAGCTCCGCCCCTTGCCGCCCTCGGGGCTTCGTTTCACGCTTGGAAAAGTATGCCAATCGCAAGCCGACTGCTCATTCGACGCCCTGTGATCAACACTTATCTTAAAGGCATCATTAGGTGGCAGCGACGCAGATGTGGGTACATTTTCAATAGTTCCGCCACATCGCTGGTCGTCGTAATTACAAGCAAACCGCACAGGGGTGTAGTTCCCCGATTCCCAGTTTTTTTTGTTTGGGGGGAGGCTTCAGTCCTCATGGTGTCCAGACCAAAAGTAAACTCGCTGCTTGCCGAATGCCCTCTTGTCGATTGTTCTACGACGGCTTCCATACTGACGACATGCAAAAAATTCGACAAGTTAAAAAGCCGAATCGACTATTTGCCTTGCCGACGACCCGAAAAATGGTGACAAGCCAAAATGGGTAATAGCTAAGTGGTGAGCTGCAAAATGGCGACACACCAAAAGTCAACATACCAAATGGTGAAAGGCTACATGGAAAACCGCGAAATGGCGCCGCACCAAGATGTCAACATTCAAAAATGGCCAACAGCTAATTGGTGAAATGCTGCAGGATCTTGATTAACTACATGGCGACTTTGGACAATGAAGACATGTCATATTGACAAAAAGCTAAATGGCGACAGATATGAAAATGGCAAACTCGGGTGGCAGGTGACTGTACTGAAAAATGGCTCCCGTTTCTTTCCCTCTGCTTGAAGAGAGAAGTGATCGATTTTTCGTATCTTGAATTGATAGACCGACAGAAACAGATCCCAACTTGGTCATTGTAATGTACATTAGGGGCATAGGCCGTGAGGTGTCTGCATCGGATGACATGGCAGCGGTGAAAGACGCCCGAGGCGCTATGACGTTACTTGGGCCTAGTGCGGAACCTTTTAGATCTGGGTATGCGGATGAATGCGGCGGTGAAAGATGCCCGAGGCGCTATGATATGATCACCTAGCGCCTAGCGCGGAACTTTTGGGATCTGGATGCGTGAATTGGATGCTGTTTTCAGTGAACCTTCTTACAAATGCTTAGCAAAATACGGTGTTCGGACGAAAAAGTCTACTTGTAGTTTGCCGAATGCGTTTTCACCGACTGCTATGTGATGGCTTCCATGTTGGCGCAAATAAAACGTCGACATGCCAAAAAATCCAGTCGGCAAAATGACGAACTGTAAAATGGCGACATGGAAGGATGGCGACATGCCGAAATGGCAAACTGCTAAATGGCGCATTGCAAAATGGTCACATATAAAAAAGTCGTCATGCCAAAATGGCGAAGGGCTAAATGACGAAATGCAAATGGTGACGCGTAGAGAGGTCGATACGCCAAACTGGCGAACGCTTAAAGGGAGTGTTCCACATTTGTATTGGGTCTCGAACTGAAGTAGCCATCTTGGAGATCATTCGGTACAGTTCACAGCCCTGCCCTTCTTCTGACCTAAAACCCACCAGTTTCTGGGCTAAACGCCCGCGAAGATGTGTAAACTATTTTGGGGAGACTATTCAAGGGCACCTGGGCATTTATGATGGCATAATAACGTTATTCAAGTCCTGTCATTTTATTACCTATGCGGTGATCAAAACCAAGAAAAGTATAATTGTCGGGTCCTTCATATATTTGACGCCTGTGAGCACGAATTCCAGGTATAGCGGGTGTCAACTGGCACTCAATCAACGTTGTGCAAGGTGCAATGACGTAACCAAACAATGATACATTAAGGACCATATGAACTAAACAGAGATATTGTGTGTCTGGCGCAGTCTTTTCCACTTAAAGGTATATAAATAATTATAGATGAGTTTATTTCACCATATCTGATGTTGCCTCAATGTTTTTACATGTGGGACATTCCCTTTAGATGTGGTTGAGCTCGTTAAGTCATGTTTGACCAAGGAAAAATAGCGCCACGCAGCGCCCCGCCACACTACACCGATACCCGCCACGCCACGCCACACCGATCCCCGCCACGCTTCGCCACGCCACGCCACGCCACGCCACGCCACGCCACGCCACGGCACTATCCGCCCTGCCACGCCGTAACACTCACACCACTCCACGCCAGTCCCCGCCCCAACCTATCCCGCCCCACCTCGACACGTCACGTCACGCCCACGCCAATCCCCCACGCCACGCCTCGCCGCGCCGATACCCGCCCCGCCACGCCACGCCACGCCCCGCCGCGCCACGCCACGCCACGCCCCGCCGCGCCACGCCACGCCACGCCACGCCGCGCCACGCCAGGCCACGTTACGCCACGCCACGCCACGCAACGCCCCGCCACACTACACCGATACCCGCAATGCTACGCCAAACCGATCCCCGCCACGCTACGCCACGCCACGCCACGGCACTATCTGCCCTGCCACGCCGTAACACTCACGCCACTCCACGCCAGTCCCCGCCCCAACCTATCCCGCCCCACCTCGACACGCCACGTCACGCCACGCCATCCCCCACGCCACGCCTCGCCGCGCCGATACCCCGCCCCGTCCCGCCCCGCCCCGTCCCGCCCCGCCACGCCCCGCCACGCCACGCCACGCCATTCCTCGAGACGCCCAGGCAGTCAGCCAACAGTTGGGCATATCCACGTGTTCTGTCACCATTCACCAACAACAAACTCAGATGTAACTCTTTTGTATTTCGCCGTTTTACAGTTCGCCAATAGGACACAGGGATGTTTTGCTAGGTGGATGTTTAGACGTTCACCATTTTGCCTTTCACTAATTTGGCATGCCAATTTTTTTGCCTGCCGCCATTCTGCAGTTCGCCATTAAGCGTTTTACCATTTAATAATTTCGAATTTTTGACAATTTGCCTTTTTGCAGTTTGCCATTTAGGCACCATGACTTTTCGCTGCCTCGCCTTTCTGAGATGTCGACGCTCCAAAGTCGTTATTAAGCAGCCGACAAAAAGGCATTCGCCAGATGGGGTTTTCGACTCTTTTACCCAAAACCCCTAAATACACGAAGCCGGTACAGTATGATAACAAGCGGCTCCAGCGCGTGGTCGATGGGAAGTCATAGCCCCAAACCCTGGTTTCCGAAATGTGGGTGGACTTCGATCGGCTTCTCGTTAGTTTTTTCATTGGCCATATTTTCAGCCCCCGCGCAAAACAAATGGGTCTCGAGCGGTCCTTTTGACACGCGCCACGCTCGAACCTCAGGACCGCAGCGGCTCGCGAGCTACCTGTCGAAAACCGCCTCGTGCGCTCGAGCGTCGAGTCCACATGTCACCACTCCCGCCGTTCCCGTTCCCCGCAGCCGTTCAGCCCGTGAGCGGTGCGATGCAAAATAGGACAGACAGACAGACTAACCGACAGAGAGGCAGACAGACAGACAGACGAACAGACAGACACATTTGTGTATTTATAAAGGGAACACGACGCCGTCGTCACAGCCTTTCTATGCAGCGTCAGCGGCTGCAATGATCACCAGACCCTGAGCAAACATCATTTGGATGATCCTTGCCGCACTGCACTGTCGCGCCGCCTCCGAGCCACTTCAGTCGATTCTCACTCGGCGGTTAGTACCAGCCAGCCTCCTCGATGCGGGAAAGCTGGCAAATAATGCATGGAGGCAGGTGATAGTTCAGAAGCTGGTAAGAATTTCTTTACATGATGGGGCGAGCTCTCAAATTCGGTCTGCGGTGGGCTTTGGGGTACCTATGTTCTGTCTTCAGCATTCGTACCTTTCCAAACACCTGGGTGCTGACACCGGTGCTCAATTTTTCGCTGACCTCGAATCTTGGGCCCGAACATTCCGGCGTGTCGAATCTAAATGCTTAGCTATGGTAGACGCTGTGCCATCCGAATTTGTGGAGTCAGCCAGCATTCTGACGTGTCGCAATTTCCCAATATCTTTATTTATTCAACACAGCCTTTAACAGCTTCTTTTTAGCTGTTCGCCATTTTGCACGTCGATGCTTCGGCCCGTCTTCACTTTGCAGATTGTCTTCCAGCTTTTCGCCAATTTAGCATGGAGATTTTGTGATGTTCCTCTTTCTGCGGCTCGCCATCTAGCCGATTCGCTTTTTGGCACGTTGATTTTTTCAGGTTGCCATTTTCGCAATAGGAAAGACGGACATTAGCCAGATGGGATTTTCGACTTTTTGTCTTAGAACCCTGCCGGTTATCCACATAAAAGGGCGTAGTCATCTGACGAAGCGGCCGGAATGGACATAAGTGAAGTCAAGGAGAGATGATGGGCCACCATACGGCGATGTTTATGACAATCATGGGCTGAACCAGGCTGTTGTAAGATCTGTCTGTCGATGTCTGCCGGAGCACACGCGCATGGCCGCTGTGTGGCCGGCGGCCAGCGCCCTCCGCGTGACCGGCCCGCTGCCTCACGCATGCAGCTGTACGTGCGCGGTGTGTGACAGCACGGGGCTGGCGATCGCTGCAGCCCTGGCCGCGCGCTGATCGCGTGTCGGTCATCGAGCAGGGGCGGGCCCGGCCGGGACCCGCCGCGTCACAGCACGTGCCGCTCCTCTGCCGTCAGCCGGCTATCTGCACGACCACTGCAAGGCGTCTCCGACTGCAACTACGAGATCAGGCACGTCGTCTGCGACCCCCGACTACTGCCGCTGCCGGGAGCCTACGTCGGATACCGCGGCGGCAAGATATGCTAGTAAGAGCATCGCGTGCCGGGATGAGCTGCGGCTGCCTGTGCCGGACTCCGCGCTCCACACCGGCCACGGGCCGTCTGCTTCTCAGCCTGGCATGCCTGCAGTTCGGCCTGACGAACTGTCGTGCCGTTTCTCTTATTGCCTTTTCCGTACTTTTTTGCGAAAATTTCGCACAACTTTCGCGGCCCGCTGAAACTGGTCGTAAACGAGACTGAGACTGAGACTGGGCTTGACGGTTGTGAGTATTGCTTGGCCAGCGCTGTGGGGGGAGGCGCGGGCGCAGGCGTGCGGTCACTGCAAATACGCGTCTCCGTTCTTTTGCTGGCAGTGACAACCCGATGGGGTGGACAGTGGCCATCAAGACAGCCGGCATCGCCGTCATGGTGCTCGCCATCGGCTTCCTCGCGGCCTTCGGCCTGAAGGCCTGCTCAAAGTATGTGTCGGTTGAAACAGGGCTGTACTCGGCATTGACCTGTGCCGACATGGGGTGGCTGACAGAGAGTCAACTGAAGCAACATATGCTCCTGAGATGAAAGCATCGTGGATGGCCTTCATCCGCGCCTGCTTGTGCCGTGAACCTAGTTAGGTGGTTAGTTATCTGGATTCGCGTGCATGTGCGTCACTTCTGGTGTTCTCTGTCAGTGCAGCCCCGGGATCGCGATCTTGCAATAGATGGTACGGGAAATGTGTATTTCGGTGCACTCCGCGGGACATTAAAAGCTGACTCATGCGGCACTTCCAGGTCCCGACTCCGGCGTCGCATTCCGTGGCTGAGGCGGAGCAGTGACGTCAGCTTTCGCTCCGAGACTTCTATGCTGCCGGCGGCTACGCGGCGGCTGACCGGCCGCCATCTTACACAGAAGAGGATATCAACAAACCGCCGAGCTATGAGGAAATCTTCCCTGAAGAACAAGTCAGCCATTATGTCGATCCTGTAAACTTTAAAACTTAAGATTCAACCCTCGCCCTGAAAGGGAGAACGGTCAAAATAACATCCTCAGGATTTCTGAGGACATTTCTTCCTCCAGCACGTCGTGTAATGACAACTAAATTTTCACTAGCCTCTGAGGATTCATTGCGCTTCTTTTAATATGCTCCCTGATGGGGCTTATGGGGACCACCCGAAAGCTCTTCCAAAGTAACTTCCAAACGTCGCAGGTACGTTGCGTCGTCGTTTCGGATCTATTGGCACTTTGGCTTTTGACTACCTGATTTGATCGGGGACTGTGAATAGTTGTAGCCAATTAACTAGCCGATCTTTTAGTCTCAAAAATCAGACATACCTTGCACGGCCGCTGACCAGGGCAGGTCAAAGTCAGGACGTGACTTTCATGAAGGCAACGCCGAGGAAATAATTCAATCTGTCGCGGCGCCGAAGTCTTCGACAAAGCCATGCATGTCTGATTTTCTTTTGACAACTAGACAATTGAACTCGGAATTATGCCTAGCTCCATTGACCTCGGATCAGACAGAAACGTCAGGGTGAGGTGTCACGAAGTCAAAATCAGTGCTCTTTTTACTACAGACGCTGCTTCGTGGTTTACTTTTTGACACTCATTTCGATTTTATCGATCACACGAACGCCAACGAGTTTCTTATTTGAGCTTCATTAAGGTCAGAAGAGATCATGATCTAGAATAACCAGATCTAGATCAACACTCGGTTTTTTAGAAACATGCGACCTAGCGCGCTCCTTGACGCTTTTCAAAATGAGAAAAAACGAAACAATGCCGTAGATTTTGGTCAACGTGACCCTCTGAAGGTGAGATAAGGTCACCGGTTTGAAACGAACACCACTGATATTTTGCTTACTAGAGGTATCCAGGCTAAAGGTGGTTGCATAAGGAGGTCTGAGAGAACTTCAGACACCGATCTGGGGTACAACCTTGTTTTACCTTATTCTACCCAAGGTTGTCTTTTACGGGTGTTGCCTAGGGACCCAAAAATTTGATACAAATGAGCTCACATACCGATACTCACGTCCTGTGAATATGGTGTCTCTAGCTCTCCTAGGTTTTTGAGATCTGAAGGGGTCAAGTTCACCCCTTCCCTTCAAACGGCGCCGTTTTCACGGCCGCCCGGGAGCGCGCTGGCAAAAAAAAAAACTCTCTCTAGCATTCGCTAGCACTAGCTGGCATTCACCATCAACTGTCGCTAGCATTTTTAGATTCCGAGAAAGGACGATTTTTTAGGGACATCGCACGTACAAAAGCAAACGGCTGGGGATAGCATTAATTAGATAGGTCTGATCACCGAAATGGGCAGCGGCTGGGAACGGAAACCTTAGT